AAAAAAAAATAAATAAAAAATATAGCTTTAAGAGGGTTAGGCCTACCCTAAAATTAAGGAACGCTCGACCTCGACACGTGATATCAAAATGGGCGAAATCGCCTCTTGATATCACTAACTCTCCTGACTCCATTATTCAGTTATTCGAAATGAATATCCTAGCATTCCGTAATTGCCTTGCACAAAATTGTTCTATTTCCTATCTCGAATGAAGTCGATGAACATCGCCTTGGATATGGTGTTTTGGTGGATATAGGTGCAGAACCTGTTGCAGATCTTCCAGATCCCACAGATCGGGTACTCGGCGACGAGCCGGGACCTGAGCGACAAGAGCCGCTTCAACTATTTTCTCCGGGTCGTCCCGTCAGACTACTATCAAGCACAGGTGATGGTTGACGTCGTCACCTGGTTCAATTGGACCTACGTCTCCGTTGTCAATACCGACGGTAGGCATTCCCGGCAAATTCTTACCTATAGATATGAAATAATTTGATTATTTTATAATTAATTCAGCATTTTCCCTGAAATTTATAATCCAGTCCTTCCAATGCTCTTGCAAAACGTCTACCTCCCATGTGGATTTGGAACCAGGTGGATGTCCCCTTAAGCGGTTTTTCCACCTGTTGGAGCGATGTCCACCCGGGGGAAAATCCACCTAGCTCGAAATACACGTGCACGAATAGCTAGGTAGATTTCCACCGGGGAGGGTAGGGGGGGGAGGGGGGGGGGGGGAAGTACACCTGGTTGTTCAGCCAGGGGGATAGGGGGTGAACGTTTTGTATAGGTGATTATTTTGTACTGTTCACTTTCGAATACCGTTTAAGTAATCCTATTTCATTCCAGGAATGCAAACTGAATCGATGCTTCATAAACCATAACCAGATTCCCTTGTATTATTTTATTTTAATATTTGCAAGTTTTATACGTGTATGACAGGTGTTCACATTTAAACGCAACATAGGGAATATCCAGCCACCTGATCGTGAAGCTTTCTTGGGGTCGTTCCAGTGACCCAGGACATTCAACTGGAGGTTCTGCGTTTTATATAAACTTTTTCGTGCAATTCTGCGTATCCTTAAAGCTATGCAGCCGTGAGCCAATGTGGTAAACCACTGGCTTTACGGCGGACGGCTGGATATTCCTTAAGGAACAACTACATACGAAAAACCTTTACGCATTTTTCTCATTCAAACTCGTCCATGGAGACGTTTTCCACGACGCACCATCGAAGACAAGGCAGGATTTTTACAGAACACTACACATCATTGCAATAAGCCGCATCTTCACAAAGAAGAATGGAGGGGAAAGAGGCATATAGATCCTGAATCCGAGGGGAAACTCTTGGGCGGGTTAAAGCGGAAGAAGCGTCGGACAAGTGTTCCACAAAAGGGGTCCCAAAGGATCCCATAGGGTTCTTGGCTAGCCCGCCATATCCCTGCCCGTAAATCCCTCGTTATAGGGAAATACTCAACCCTTCGTCCCATTCCTTAGCAAGACTTCCGCCCCATTCTCATCCGTCCCCCGAATATGGCAATGAGTCTCGTCGGAATTTTCCTCCATTCTCTCTTTATAGAGAGATGGGAATTCTCCTCTTCCTTCCAAGAATTAGTTTTTTTTTTATCGGATCGTCCTCAGGATAACGCTCTCCATTGAAGAAAAAAAGATTCATTTAATGAAGACCAGCTCTTCTTCCACTTCTCTCTATTGTGCTTCTGCATTTGTAAGAAAAGTGGATTCGTTGGGGGGGGGGACAATTCCTGTTCGTTCTTCCTACGGAACCACTTGATTGTTTGTCTCTCGCATATCTCACTCGACCCTGAATTTCTTAGTCATGTATTTCAGACGAATTTTAATTTTCTCATATTTTTCCCCCTCATCTTTTCTACGAAAGATCGCTTCCACACGGGCATTAGCAAAAGCCAAAAATAATTCCTGTATAAGTAAGTTTCAGGATTGCATTGGAATGGGTATTTAAATGCAGAAAAATGAAGTTGAAATTTCATTCTTGAAAAGTTAGATCAGAATGATGAAGACGTGCGGGAAGACGTGCAGGAGGCCTTTTGCAGGCCTCTATAGAGTACGATCGATTCTGAGGATGGTGACAGGGATCAGTGCGATCGGAGGGGGGGGGGGGGAAGAATATGAGATGAAGGATTCCCCTTTGCCATATTATGTTGATGAACCGCCTTGCTTCATGAGATGTCGTTACGCATCCACAAAACCCCCTCCTTTTAAACGCCCCATTATTCTTCTCCTAGATCTCCTCTTTTTTGGGAATAAAAAATATAGCATCGTTGTGATCGTCCTCAGGCCAGAGATTATGGATGGGGAAAAAAAACCAAGGGGATTTTGATGCTGGATTCCCGATTCATCCGAGCGGACTTGATTACAGTAGAGGTCGCTCTTCCATTTCTCATGGATGACATTTCCAAGAGAAAGAAAAGAGGAATTTTTTTTTAATTGATAGTTTCGACTGAATATCATGTTACTCGATTGATTCTTCGCCTCTGTCTGGCTTTCCGATTACCTATCACGAGAATTTTTGCCACTCGCCTCAGATCCGCACCATTTTGCTGTCGTGGTTCTCTCTTTTTACTTCACTCCTAAGCATTTTCGTTCATTTCCCCAGAAAATGAACTGGTGAGATCCCTCATATCGGGACTTTCAGAGACACGACTATGAAGTATTGAATGCAGTAGAAGTAATGAAAAAAAGGAGGAGCTGCTCACTAGAAGCGGTGCCAGGAATCGATACCAACTCGGCGGCCCGTACTGGCGGCAACGGCAAGCATCTCCACTAATGGTGTTATACACCGCTCATTTCACGTCTTCACGGAAATAATAAGATTCAGGAGTTTAAAAAAATATATCCTTCGTTCGTTGGAATTAAGTGAACCTGAGATTTTATTTTCCTTATTTTAATGAATGCGCGTGGCAAAATAACGAGTTGATCCACGAAATGTTTCGGTGCTGGTATCCAAGAAAGAAATGAACTCCAAACTGGTTTACTAGCTATGACTTGGTCGTCATTGGGACCATGGAGACATTTTGTATGACGACTGCAAGGGCATACTTGGAGTTAAAGGGGATAAGGAACTATTTTTATTCCGTTTTTTTTTTCCTTTCCTTTTCGCTCTAAGTATAAATGTATAAATGTAGGTTCTATAAGCCAGCGGTTCCCGAACTATAAGCCGCGAGAGGCTTCAGGATGGGTCAAAAGAAGTTTCCTATTTAAAAATTTTGAGCCATCATTTGCAAGGTTAGTAAACGCATGTCTAGGAAACAAAGAAATATTGTTGGGAAAACGTCGGTGAGTTTTGTATAATATATAATCAGTGCTTGAAATGGGGCGGGATGGCATTCTGTTAGGCCTGGATTTTTGCTTGAGCCAGTCTGTCAAAATGAAAAAATGGGGAGATAAGACGGGATGCATCAATATCGATTTTCTCACAGAATATCGATTATGTCAAAGAGAAGAATTTCCTAAGGACCTTGCGGAAACGGGACAAGCATAAGATTGGCTGAAAACTTCTAGTCGCTCTCAGCACCCAACCATACCATCCCCCCCCCCCCTCTATCCTCCTCCCAGCACCTTGCAGGGGAGGGGGGGGGGGCATTATAATAGAGGAGTTTTTTCTAGGCACCCCCCTCCCCTCCCATCTCCTTTCACCCTAGAAAAAAAAACGTTCCGAGCACTGACTCGATGACGTGTTCGTTCGTTTCGAATGGTGATGGGTCGATGTTGGCGAGTGGGTCGCGATTCAAAGCTTGGAAGCCACTGCTGTAAGCCATAGAACTAGGATTAGTATGGGAGAGGAGAAAGTCGGTTCCTTAATATTGTCCCTCATTCATGGTTGGCAATCTGTCACACTCCACGTCAATCCCCTCTATCCTCTATATTTGACTAGATCGATTTCAACTTCCTCCCGCTTTATTGCCCTTCACGCATCTTCCTACACTGCTATTCGACGTCTACTATGATATACGTCAGCATTTTTCTCTTATTTCAGTCCAACTGGTGGTTCCATTTCCTTAATTTTGGCATCAATATGAATGGTATTACGGCAATGTAGTCACTTCCACATGTGACGATGTTGTAGCCATATTACTTTCTTCCTGCCATTCAATATTCCTCCCTCCGTATCTCACCCTCAATTCTGCTTCATCCAGCGCCTCATACTCTTTCAAGGCTTATTTTAAACCATGCATTTAAAAGTTTTAGTGCAACATATTGTCCGCCACGTGCCGCATTTCCGCTGCATCAAAATTCTCAAAAGTGAAAAATGTGGAGAAAGATTCCTAACACTCATCAAGGGAAGGGAAGGAATGGTGTCGTAGAGCTAGATACACTATTCAGATAATGCTTCTTTGTGAGGGAAAAGTAGGGTTGTGCAAATAATGGAGGAGGAGGGGGGGGGGGACAAGGAAAACCCTCTGCCCCCACAACTTAAAAAGGGGAAAGGGCATTTGCCATCTCTGCTCTCCCGGTTCCTACTCTATTGTCCAAGCGATGCAATTGTTTCTGCATTGGATGGGTCCCTCACTGGTCCCAGGTCCCAGCCTGGACTTGCGAGAAGTCGAGAATTTTAATGCTGCTGGAAGAACTGGAGGACAGTTTCATGCACTGGAAATATTACATGCGTCTGGTTCTTTCTTTCTTCCATTTTTTCACTATATTACAGGCTGTTTTAATATAATGGCACTCTCGGCAGTCCCTACGAAGACACCTGATAAATCCTGAACTGAACGTGGCACAGAGCCATGTTTGTTGCATTTTTAATGTTTTTGTTTCGCATATATTTCGCTCAGGTCGAAATCTGAATTTGTGATGAAAATTTTGAAGAGAATTGACACTCTGTAGCAACTAAAAATTCTGGAAATCTCGTAATCGATCGACTGCATTCATGGGGCAGGAAACACCATGGTCATACTACCTCACACATTCCTCTATTTTATTTTAGAAAAATGGGTTAAATTCCAACTTCTTCGAGCTTCTCACATTTGAAAAATCTTTAAACTTGGGTCTACACTGTACCTGGCTTCCTCAGGATCCAAGTTCCCATCGTTCAAACATCGAGGTGGGAGGCCACTTTTGACTCAAGGTTTGACGGAGCTAGAAAGAAAGTTTATCTTTTCTGGGAAAAAATCAACCTTGCTATTTTTAGCGATATAGCAAAGGTGGTGAGGCAAAGCACTTTCCAGCCTCGTATCTAGAAACCTTGGTGTACGAGGGTGCAGAAAGAACCTTTGCTTAGTCTCTAAGTCTCTCTTCCTCTAGAACAATGACCAAAGGGTCGTCTGCAAAATCCCGATTCAGAGCGTTTTTTCTAAATATTATTGCAACCGCTTCAAAGTAGGATAATTTACCGACACTTCAATTCTATCGGGGTTAGAAGGCAGTTCAGTTCTACCAGCCACATCGCCTATTTTTTATTTAATCATGAAAGCTACCATCTCAGACAGGTATAAGGAGAAAGTATGAGAGAATTTAGTCGCCATCGAGCAAATTTGGGTCATCCATAATCATGGCTTTCGTATTTCCACCATTTTTCATAACTTTCTCCCTGCAGCTTGCAAGAAGATGCCTTTTACGCCTCTTTTTCATTCTGAATATGTTTTTCCTTTATAGAGAAATTGATGCAGGAGTATATCTCTAGTCCGTTTCTCAAAATAAGATTAGAAAATGTACTACAGGTGTGATCATGTTTTTTTATAGCTCGAATTGAAATAAACAGGACTTTTAATCTGTTGAAATCAGAGCTTGTATTCTGTTCAAATAAACTAAAATATATATTCAAAATGTTCTCCCGTTGAATCAATACATATTGGAAGGCGATGTTTGAAGTGTTGATGAACTAAATTAAGTAAATTGGCATTTCCAAAATTATCTTAATATATCCTATGTTCCCAGACTTTATGGCCACCCTGTATATGCGAGGATATGCATACCCCTTTTGGTTGGGTAGATGATGCCTTGGGCTGGAATAGCCCCCTTTGCAGGTCAGATGCCATCCTCCACATCGTCTACTAAGGGAATGCACGTTCCAATAGAAGTTAGAATAGGCAACAAGCGTCATCCATCAACACCAGACGGAGAAAGAAAGGAGAACAGAATCAGTGATGGAAGAGGCTCAATATTGCAGTTGAAGGGATTAGGAAGGGTGGGTTCCGAAATCCAGGAGTTTCGAAGTATCTCAATGTGCTTCCCTGCTGTCTCATCCACTGCATAACTCACGCAACGATTTCATGGACTCTTTATATTAAATTTCCTTGGCAATTGTGTTATGACTAAAAATAAAATAATGATATCGTATCGTTTGACTCAAAATGAAACTTATTACAAGCTTCCTTGGCATGCCTGTAATGAGAATCAATAGCCGCAGTAGCGCCTATCCTCTTTCTTCAACCCTTTTCCTATGTGGTAACTTATAGGAAACCATAAGGCTAACGTTCTCCAATTTGTCATGCATGAAATATTGAGCATTGAATTTCCCCGGGCAACGCCGGGTACTTCAGCTAGTAACCAATATTTAAAACTTGTGAAACTGGTAGCACCCTCTCGTAGTGCGTGCGCGTGACAGTACAGTTCAAACATGAGGTTCGATGTGAAAGGTCCTCCGCTGAAGCGCAGCGTGCTGCGGTGCCGTTTCTTTGATAAGAGGGTTCAAAGCCAATTGTAAATTTGCATGTCTCAAGTGCGGATGTATGAATGATGTAAAAAGTTCCATTCTGGTTGAGAAAGCCTTCAAGACGGCAATAGGTCAGGAGCACCGCACACACCCGTGATTAAATCCAATATTGCGCGAGTGGATGACGAAAGACTTTTACGATGTAAAAAATCTCGTGAAAGGTGAGAAAAGTGCGTAAATAATGTCGGAGATTATTTTGAGAAGTAAAGAAATTTTTTTTTTAATTCTCGTTATTCATTGAATCCCTCTCGTAGCTTCATATCCTCGTGGTTGCTGAGAACACTGAATCTCGATTTTTCAGGCATAAATTTCATTCTGCTTTTTTTTTGTTCTCTTATTCCCCCCCCCCCCCTTCCCCGGGTGGTCACTGTCACTCCTGGGGGTCTTCGGAGGAGATAGCCCAACCAAAAGAAAGATATCGACTTGTAGAGCACGATAAGGGCCTTTTTTTGTTGGCAATACACCATTTCGCTATGAAAAATTAAATCAGCTGTTGTTCTTCGGGCTTAGCCTGCTGGATCGAGTCCCATTCCTCACGGTTTCCGGATATTGTTCTGGGGTTTTGTAGGATTTGTGACTGCTTCTTTCGCATCGGGGCCTGGATCTTAATGTTCCATCACCATACAGGTGTATTGCAGTTCATCGAATTTCCTCTTCATCTGGAGGAGGTTGGGTGAATTCAGCCCAAAGGCGTATTATCGTTCCTTGATCTGAATCAACTTTCAGTGCGTATTTCATTGGAGATTCCAGTAAAGTTATAGGGGGCACCTTTTTAAATAATGCACTAGTTATACTGCGGGTTTAGTCGCTGGAATACAGAGACCCATGACGAAGATGAAGAGTGGAAATACAGGCCCATCGAGAAGAGCCCTCTGCCGAAACAGCTAAAATGGCCCCTCGTATGATTAAAAACTAATATGTCATAAAGGTCTCAAAATATTATACATGGGACATGGAAATATAATTTCGACTCTTCGAACCTTCCCCTTCTTCAAACCCCTGACTGTCCCATCCGAGTGTACTCTTTTTGAGGTTCAAATTTCACGCCTGTTGTGAAAAACATTGTGGTTTTCATCTTAGGAACTCATTCTGAAGATCTCCTACGTCCTGAATTGCGAAAATATCAGCTGTAGTTGTAAACACACCATGACTTCAGCTAGTCGTAAGAATAAGCGACGTGTTGCTGAAGATTGCAAATTGTTAGTTGAACAGAATCAATTTTCCAATTTCAAAAATTTTACAAAATGTCCAAAACCCCCAATTCCTTTACTTAATTTATTAGGAAACGAAATGTCTAATTAATCGCAAAAAAAATCAACGCGAAGGGTGTGCAGTGTGTTAAAAAAAAAAACAACTCGACAACCAAGGGGTTAAAGTGATCCCATAGAACCACGGTCGGCCTCAGGGGACACTCCAGGTCTCTCCCTTTGGTCAGTTCAGGGATTTCATGATGGAAACAGTGAAATAAAAATCATGCCTGCAGATTCCAGAATGAGAGTAGTCTCATTCTGGAATCTCGACTATAATGGTGGCCAATAAATGACTGAACCTTCTCAACCATAGTCCCAGTTTCCATAATAGCAATCAATTGAGATGAACCGAGCCTCGATTACTACTATAATATGACCTGGATGTATGATTCCTAAGCTTGGTGATAACTGGACCTTCTCCGCAGCATCTACTGAGGCATGAAAAACAACAAATTGGAAGCATTGAGGATTTCAGACCTCCAAAATAAACAGGATCTTTGCGGGGCATCCTTCGTCAGGTATTTCATAGGTGTTTGAAAGTTTATATTTCGGGGACTATATACCCTGATGGCTTTGAAAGTATACATCCTTCTTCGAGTTTCCGCTTTTTCCGTACGGATAAATTCATAACGGTTGAAATGGGCCTGTGTTGATGATTGCTAACTCGGTATTATTTTGGGTAATAATGTGAAATCGCCTTAATGTGAAGCCATACAAGTGATGGGGATGAAAGAGCCCAGCGCTCCTTCAAAAGGAAAATCTATGCCCTCTGTCAACGGTCCCCTCCGACCTCCATGACTAAGGCCGAAATAAGATGAGAGATACCGAAAACTCTCACTCAGTAGCATCTTCCTCTGCTCTCTTACGGAGTCTTCCCAAGAGAGAAAGAGGAACCCCTTCTTCGTGCCCATGTCAGAGGCCATTTCCCCCGACGTCGCTAGTGCAAGATGCATTCTTGATCATCTCATTCTCGTTCGGCTCATGTTGTGATCATCTTAACATGTTGGCTACCAAGGCGTTTCAGACAGACTTTTCCCTCCAGCCCAAAAGCTTTTTTAGTCTGTTTTTATAATTAATTATCATATATTTATGAAGGTGGAGCAAAACGGGGCGGCTCAGGAAAATCGCCGAAATTTAGTACCAAGGAATTGGTGTAACACGTTGCAGATTGGTATGCGGTACCTTTCATGTCTTACCTACGACTAGGATACAACTTCATCGCGGAGAACAGTTCCCCCCCCCCGACAATTCTGAAAGTTGGCGTCAAATACCTCTGCGGGGCAAAACGGGGTACGCTTCTAAATATTGTTTTACAAAGTTTTTATGAATAATATACGGCTACTTCGATAGGTCACAGAACAGAAACATTAATGAAATATCACAAATATCAAACTAATGATTTTCCACATGTTTTCCCGTGTCTTCATTTAATGCCTATTTAAAAAATTACCAGAACAGAGACCGCAACGAAACACCCACAAATTACAAACAGATGCTTCCTCCTTTTCCCCGGGTCTTCATTCTTACTTACAATGGTCAAAGAACAGAAACAGCAGTGAAACATCTACAAATAAACCGTGCTTTTTCCCTCATGTTTTCATTAAATGCCCATTTACTAATGCCATAGAACGGAAACAACAATGAAACTTTTATGGCAAAACAATTGTTGCTGTTTCAATTTGTTACCCATGTATTCATAAATGCAAATTTACAGATTTCACTGAAAAACATGTCCTCATCCGTGCCGTCATCGATGCCTACACAGCTTTCATGAGCCGAATTCCGGTGACCCTAACAAAAGTCCACCATTAAACAACCAGGTGGATATGGGGTGGATTTGGAATCAGGTGGACGTTTCCCCCAGTGGGAATCCACCTATCCATTCGTGCCCATGTATTTCGATCCAGATGGATTTTCCCCCGGGTGGAAATCGCTCCAACAGGTGGAAATAACGCCTAGGGGGACCTCCACCTGGTTCCAAATCCACAGGAGGTGGTGGACGTTTTGTAAGGGAGCTCTAACTGTGACATGAATCTTTCGGGTTGCCTCACCATATGACTTTTCACGTTGCCTTATCGCACTTACACGTCACACTTATCACATTTATATTAATAGCCTGCGTGAAGGGGACATGAGTAACTCATGAGGAAAAAGGTTTCTCGTCTTTCCGAAGGAGTAGGTTTTCAATTAAAAAATGCGGAGTAGCAGCTTCCCCTCAATCATCCCCTGAAAACCAACATTTGTTTTGCAGTCTACTTTAGATGAATTTCCTAACAAGGGGAATCGTTAGCGATATGCATTAATTATTTACATGAATCCAGGGAACTACGGTCAGAGCGGGATACAGGCGTTCCGAGAATTGTCAGAGCGGGCGGGGATCTGCATCGCAAAGGAGGATTCCATCTTGGAGAACGCCGAGGATGCAGAATTCGATGCCGTCATCCGTCGCCTCCGCAATGACTCCAACGCGAAGGTGGTCGTTTGCTTCTGCCAGGGTCAGACGGTCCGGGGCCTCCTTAAGGCCTCCCAGCGGAACTCAACCGGTGGCAGGGAATTCCTCTTCGTCGGCAGGTGAGATATGCTCGAGCATGGGAAATTCTCTTTCACGACGTCCTTCCTCTTCTCCGACATTGCAGTATTAAAAAATTATGAGGATGAAAACTTATTTCCAAAATATTGTGTGCTTTTAAAAGAGAATATGAAATTTCAGTGTGTCTAATTATTATTACAATTACATGTAAGCAGCATGTGTGTAAAGCGAGGAGTTACGTGGAAGTATGGATGCAGCATACAAAATTAAAATATCAAATTAACGTGAAGAAGATTGACCTTAGCTGAATGCTACCATTAAAAAAATAGTTTTGTTTTAAAAAATAGACCAGGTGCCTGTTCCTCACCTCAGCTAAATTTGATCTAAATCTAAACTTTATCCAATTTAAAGTCGGTAATTCGGCACTAATGTGATAAACAACAGGCTCCTTTGACTGCATTTTACTATGCTTTCAGTAAAAGTTTAAATATAGTTTAAGTTTAGTATAGACGAGGAACAGGTATTTTATTCCATTGAAAGATCTTGTCCTATGACTATTTAAGGAGAAAACCAGTTGAACAAAGTAATTATGACGTTTGTACGGTTTTAGGGCAGACCTTTTCTCGTCCATAACCTCATGTCCTAGATTTTAAAGCGTCAACCAGTATCCTACTGCAGCTTGAAGTCGGAGTACTAAATAATGCAGGAGTACTAAATCGAAGGCCCTCCTACAAACCATAGACCAGGGGTGCACGACATACCGCCCGCGAGCCGCATGCGGCTCGCGAGGTCCTTGCTCTTGCGTGCCATGACTCGTGGCGTTGTAAGTGCTACTATGGCTCCTGCCCTGTAGGCCACAGCTATGGTCAGCCAGACTGCGGCCCGCGGCAGGTAAGTAAAAATCGCAAATGCCCCTCACGGTCTTTTGAGTTGTGCATCCCTGCCACAGGCAAACGATTTCTGTAAATGATAATCATGCAACTATTTCCCACCCAGCTGAGCTGACGCGGTTTTGAGTAAATGTCCAAAATCATCTTTGTCTTTAACATGTGGATTTCATTTCAAATCCAGCTGTTGGATAGAGCAGACCGTTCCTTGAGTAACGCAGCATGAAATGAGTACCGCTCATGGCCTGTTTTAAATTGTTCATATAATCCATGAAGCTCTCATCAGCGATGTATGAAGCTTTTCTGGCGTGCATCCGATTCGTCATCAAGGAATCGCTTTAACAAAAGAAGAGTCTTTCGTGTCCGATCGCTCACGAAGATCGCAATGAATCACGAGTAGGTATGCTATCTCTTTAGCACCATATCGTGATTAAAAGCTATGGAGTATTTCTCGCATGCTATAGGACAGCTCCCCATATTAGAAATAAATGGGGTGTGAGAGAGTGCCCAAGATGGCATCAATGAGTCGGGAAATGCGGCAGCAAATCACTGACGGTGTCAGTTGCTTTGGTGTCATCAAAAGAAAATCCTTCGGAAAGCACACATTCCCAGTCGAAAACATAGAGAGAATGTTGGTGGAATATAGACTGTTCTTCCTTTTCCCTTTGTTCATCAATTTCCGAGGAGGGGGAGGAATGGTAGAGCCTTCATTTGTTTCTCTGCCCATCACCTCAGGTTGTCACCCATACACCTCCTTCTCCAAGTGAACGATGACTCCTTGGCCCGTCCGGACATTCCTCTTTCCTTTTTTTCAGTTGCTAATCCGGCGTAATTGGGTGGACGGGATCCTCAGCAGTCCAATGTTATTGCGAATGAAACATGCAACCCTGGTACATTTTCATTCTGTTGCTCTCGTATTTTCGTATATAAAACGGTACACTGCGAATGTAACTCATAATATCACACTGGTTTCTGTTATCCTCTATCAAGTACCAGGAGTGAGTTTTCCGTAAATGCAGGAAAATTTCGCTTCCTCTCGTATTTTTTCATTTAAACTTAACATTTCTGAAGTTCTTCCTTCGTTTTTGTTTCATCTTCGTCACCAAATTCTAGAAGAAAAAGTAAGTGATGGTGCGATTCAGCTTAGGAGGTGCTTCATAAATTAGCAGAGGTCACCTGAGAATAGGAATTTGAAAAGACGCCAAGGTTCGGAGGAGGCGTCTGCCTAACGAAGGAGGGTGGAGGCTTTTGATGGGCCAAGAGCCCATTAGATGAAGGATTCCTGCACTGCACGCAAGCACTGCACTGATAACATCCGCCTTTATATAGGCCTATATACCAAGCACCTACATACCCCATTCCACCTGCCTCCAGTATGCATGGCCCTGCTACATCGATATTTACAGGAGAACAACCTCTTGATTCTAGTTCAGGTATCCCCATCAAAGTATGTACATCAGAAGAGGGGGAAGAATTCCGACAGACGAATTTTCGGAAAATTGAGACTCCGTTATTGGCAGAACAACGGAGCTGCCGTTTTCCTCACGAACGAAAGCTAAATCATTTTTGTTGTTCTTCTGAATTAAAAGAGAATGGCTTTGGATGGCTGTGCTGAGGTATGTTTTCAAGGTCGCAATCGTGGTGAAGGTTCTATTCGTAACCGTTGCCACAATTGACACTTGGCAGTCCCGAGGGAAGACACGATCGTTACGGAATATCGGCCAATATTTAACTCCCTCCGAAGAAGAATTAGGGATGTTTATCATTTACGAAAGCGCATGGAAAAAGATGGATCGCTTCGCTTCTCCTGCATATTCCCCTTGTTTAAACCCAAGCGTCCGACTGGAACGGATCGGAAATTGGCTTGTCGAACTTCATGATCCGCACTTTTCAAAGAAGATAAAACGTAGAATTAACTGGAACGAAAACACAGACAACGGCGTTCCCCTGCATGGAAGGGGAAAGAGTAGTGAATCTTGGATGAACTCAACCACTCCATCTCCTCGGCATCTTCTCTGCCTTTGCGATATCCATCGATATACTCAGAAGTATTCATGCAAACGAGATCATGCGAGGAAGATCCGCGAAAGCCAAATGCATATTCAAATCAACGTTCTGCATACCGGAACCTCCAATCTCGATTTCCCTTTCAAAAGGTCTGAGTTCACCAGCACGATACAATCGAGATCGCAAGTTTAGAGGCCTTTCCGGACGATTCCTATGCCGAAGAGTGATTACACGTTTCGCCAGCAGATACATGGCGTATTAAGCGTATAATAAATCGTGCTCTTCTACCATGCGTTTCAGCTGGTTCAGTAATGGCGTAGTTAGAAAAGCGGAAATAGTAAATTATATTGTAGTTATTATAACGTAATGGCTTTCAAGACTTACGAAAGAATGACTTCTGAAAAGTATTTACAAAAAGTCACTGAAACTCAAGAAATCCAGCAACGGTTATGAGGGTGATGAGGTTTCTCGGCTGCTGCCCCCCCCCCCCCCCAGAAAAAAAAACCAGATCGGAAGAACTTTCCTTTACTTGGCACTCTCAGTCATGCGTAGATTCCCGTCGAAACAAGGAGTTTTCACTGTATCATTTATCTAGAGACTCGCAGAGAATCCTTCCATTTCTGGCACCTCCATCACATTCCTCGTAGAAGTCGATAAGGACCGAATGAGACTCCTAGTGACGCCTTTGCTAAGGTATAAAATGGTTTCGAGGGAAGCAAGAGGAGAAAAGAAGTTCCATTTCGACCGTCAGACGGCAACACACAAGGAACGCTAGGTGATAAAAGTGAAAAAAGTTCTGATTAAACTACTATGTCACTCGGGGAATAAGGAAACCCTCGGTTCTCCCTGCACAGAAATTCCATATGCATACTAAAATAGAAGCCCGATCAAGTACGTTATCACGCACTTCATCGATGAGGATTCAGTCTATGAATACAAGAATTCATGAACGTATTGACCGATTTCATGATCCATGTGATGACGTGTGAGTGATCCGTTGCCCTAGCTACGGATCACGCTCACACACACTCTTCCCTCTCTTTCCACCCCTCCCTCCTCCCTCCTTACCCAGCAAAAGAAATTGTCCTCGAGGTCTTGCGTTGCAGGCGTTCTGGAAAACCTAGGCTCTTCTAAGGGAATGGAAAACGAGGTCCGCCCGTCCATAATCGAGATAGGCGATTTTCCTCCTTTCTCTTTCTCATCCTCCTCTCCCCTTCTGCTTTTTTCACACTCGTTCGGCACATGGGTTCTCCTTTAGTTTAGGTCCCAGCTGGGCTGGCTCAGTTAGGCTCAAATAACTTCATCGGAACAGTCAATTTCTCCGCGGCCACATGAAAGATGAAGCTCGCCGATGAAACGCAGCCCAGCTTCTACTCAGATGGTTTCATGGTGTACACCACTGCTACCCTTTCCCACTTTCATTGACTAAGGGTGGATTTTTGAACAGAGAACTATCCGATAATGCTGCTTTATTTCCAATAAATATCATGTATTTTCCCTGGAATAAAGTTGCACTATTGGATAGTTCTCTGTTCAAAAATCCACCCTTAAGGTCGAACTCTCTTGGTCTCGAAACCGTGCCTGCCCGAAACTTTTCTGCACGCCAGCATAATTCGACGATACCCATATACCCATCGTTCTGTTCTTTGGGAATGAAGGATTCTGTCTGGAAGTGGCTGCTTCCCAACCCGATCGACTCCTCACAGAAACGGTATGTGAATTGCGGAGACAGCACTGCAGAACTTCATGAGAACTAGTTGCTCTACGAAATCAGGTCTCGCTCGATTCTTCTGCCAGCGAAATGAATCGCGAGCACCTTGAAACGATCGAGTTACAATTTCATTCACAGCCATAGAGCTATTCAAAATTGACCGGCTCCATGAGGTAAATTCATACTTCTATGACGAGCGTCCCATTTCCTTTCTGTAGACCTATATGTTCCCCCTCATCTAAAAAATCTATGGAGAGGGTCCACCGCGAAATACAGAATATTAAGTGTTAGGTATGCTACTTTTATTGAAGAATGGGTTTGTTTATTTACTTGCGCGGTATCACGAATCTGGCGTGTCCTAGTATGAATTGACCTGGATAGTTTTCCATCATTTTCGATTATTTCTCGCATTCTATACATCCTTCATGTTGTCCGAAAGCTTGCATGTCATTTGAGTGAGAACAAAATTGGCTGGGAATGGGACATGGCCTTGAACGTCACTTAATAAATTTACCGGTAAATTCAAAGGTAATTTTGATGGCATACAGACATTTGATAATTCTACAGAATTTAATGGCATGTTTCAATGAACCAGGGATCCAACGTTGATCGGAACACCAACCGAAAATGATTCTCTCTGAAACCCTATTGTGAGTAAGAAACCATGAAGGAAATGCGAAAAAGCTTTTGTTTTATACAGTAGTTAGAAGATGCAGCGTACCGTTTTGTGTTCTGTAGCGACGGTTGGGCAGACCGGAGTGATGTGGTGCAAGGACTCGAAACGGCTGCCGAAGGAAGCATCTCCATCCGGATCCACGCCGCCTACGTCCAGGACTTTGATAAGGAGTATTTCAAGCTGAATGCAAGCTACGAAAGGAACCCCTGGTTCAGAGAGTTCTGGGAATACAGGTTCAACTGCAGCCTGAATAAAACCAGCACGGAATCCAACCCACATTCTTCAAAACCCCTTTGCACTGGTGAGTCTCCTTGGGATTCCCTGCGATATATCTCACGAGCCACGGTATCATATGCAACATTTCACTACTCTGTAGGTTGTACTTTTACGTTACTTCATCATTATGTTGTATTCACTATTTTCATTAGTTCATCCTATTTTTATCGCTTCGAGTGAATTGGACGTGAAAAGAATGGATAGAACACGATCAGAAAGTGCTCACATCAAAACACAAAAATCATACGAAATCCTCTGTAAGTATACCGCATACGATTTAGCGCGGCAAGCATCAATTCCAAAAATAAAGGGAATGAGAAACAGAAATACTGAGCGGGCAATCCTGCCCTCACGAATTTTCCAAAATACAGTGACTCTTGTTCTTAATTGTCTGTTGAAAAACCAACCAACACACAGAGCAAAACGATTAATTCCTTTCTATGCCTCCTACGTCATAGGAGGCATAGAGAAACAACTTGACTTGGAAGAAATCCCTGACGAGAAGTGCATTGGAGTGGATGAGTCAATATAAGAGAACTTCGGAAAATTGTCATCTTTTTCCGCAAACGATGGCACGAGCCATCAAGAAGCGGGCCAAAACTAGCAATGTCTTTGTTGTTGAGTTCTCCTCGATTGATCGTCATCGATCGCGTTTTTCAATTATGCATTAACTTATCAATCGCTTCGCATTCGAAAGGGTGATTTCTTCTTCGAGGATGCAAAAGGGATGGGAAAAGAAAGGGGGTTGGGATTGATTGCTCGAAGAGAAAAGTGGGCGCCTTCTCTGCTCAAGATTACCCCATTCTTCACCTTCATCTAGGAGAGTAGTAAATCAGATTCTATACGTGAAGGCTTCTTTATGACCTGTGGCTGCAAGGAAATGCAGAGGCAGCAGTCTGAAAAGTTGGAAAAAATTGAAGGAATAGAGAGAAGCGATAAAGAAAAGTGTAATGAACCTATCCTTCATCCGTCTTCCCCCTGTGAGAGAGACATTGGAAAGTTCAATATCACATGAGAGATTAACCCCATTATGTTCCACTTTTCTAAAGAATAAGAGCGGCTTCCATTCGCAACCTTGTGTCGGGGCGTCACCTCGTCTTGAGTGATGGAAAGGAGGTGATCAAAGGAGGGTGTTGTAGTCCTCTCTCTGGTCTTCTCGCTCACACTCCAGTCGCTGACCATGTTACAATTGGAAGGAAGTCTAAGACGACCAACCATAGTTTTTTTTTGCATTTCCGATAACTTACGCCAATACTGCTTCCATAAACTACGCATTTATTGATTGACTCGCTCAGGTGAGGAAACGTATATTAAGGGGCCTCTGGGAATTTCATTGCATGACTTCAGTAGTTTTCGAAAATTTACGAAGCGAACCGTTATTTACAATTAAAAAACACTTGATCGAGAACTGTAACTTCCAATGAACACGTTGAAGCCAAACTCTTGTATTCCTGCTTCGAATGCCGAATTTTTTTCTGCGAATGTCATCGAAATACGTGGTTCCGTGCTTCGTGAGAATTTCTGGAAATTCCATTTGCATCCCTCAGCTATCCAAAAATTAGCGGGAAAGAAGACATTCTTTTCCCGTTCGCTATCTATGCCAGGCGCGGGAAGGAAAAAAGAGGAAAGGATCCCATTGTGATGAAAGGGGAAATTTTAACAGCCAGTCTGCGAGAAAAAAAGACACCCTTTTTCCAGAATTTTGACCGATTTTCGGAAATGGATTTACTGCGCTATATCTTAGCATGAGCGGTATTGCTACCGATGGAAGAGTGGTACATGCCATGGCGAATACAAAGAGAATGAGACCGATGGGCTTCCTAGTTGCGGAGTAATCATCGGGTAAAGGTGGAACCCAAATCGACATGGTCAGAGCTATTTTGGGGCAATATCTGCAAGGACAAGGACGGCAATGTGGCTTCTAAGCACTCAATAGAGGATATGAATGTAACAATGCGTCGTAATCGGCCTTTAGCTCTAATTATGAACATTAACACTTCCAAAGGTATGATTTTCCATGGTTTCGGTATTAAATTCGATAATGCGAGGGTCATCCAAAAAGTTCGAGAACATTTCATTCTACGACGAGTCAAAGCACAAAAAGTAACATTATTCCAATTCAGCTTTTTCAGGATTAGTTTATGAATGTAACACATTTACTTGGATAAGCTAGCAGAAAATTTCATTTGGAATTTGTAAAAATAATAATAATCAAATGATTATAAATGCAAAAAGTGCAGCGTCAGCTTTGTGCAAGACTTGTGAATGCCTGCTGTGAAAAAAAAGTTCAAGTAGACTGACTAAACTCGTGTTGGATGCAAATCCATACTGTGCGAAAATGCTATCGTTTGAAATTTGACAGTTGGGGGGTGGTCTTACACGTTGCGACCTCGAAAATATGTCCTATTTCGGCTTTAAGAGCATATCATCGTACCGTATCGTGTACGTTTTAGGAAGATGAAGACTCTGGCTCACATTGAACTCCGTTAGTGATGTACAACACATCTATAATATTTGGAACTATTCAATCATAAAAAAGTTTTATCTCGCTAGCATCTCATTCATTCACAGAGAAAATAGTCATTTGGAGGAAGAAGGGGAGAGGGATGAGAGGCAAAAAAATAAAATAAAAGGCAGACATGGCCTCTACTCCCTACGCCCCATCTGACTGCTCCCAGCAAGAAATCAACATGGATTCTTTCAACCTTCTTTTCTCATCTATTATTTTTGGAAGCGGGGAGAGGATGCAGGTAACATCTGGAACTACAAGGATACTTTTAACGGCCTATTTGGTTAGGATTACATCCAAGACGTCTACACCTGTGAGTCATGCATGAAGGACGGCCTTATCATGCCAGAACCGTGGGCATGGTTATACACGAGGGCCACTCAATAAGTTATCTACTTGAATATGAAAGGGATGAGCAACAGGCCTGCTCAACTCAGGCCCAACAAAAAGTTGACTTCTATTCCCAGGGAATAAAATCCTTGGAATCAAAGTGGAATAAGTGTGTCGAGTTAAAAGGTGACTACATTGAGAAATAAAGTGTTATTTTTCCCCTCGGATGCTTCTTTCTTATTCAGGTAGATAACTTATTGAGTGACCCTCGTATCTTAGACCTTTTTCTAATTGAATTTGGGGTTTAAATGAATTTCTTTATCTCACATTGCTGGGATGCTGGCAAAAAGTGTTAATGCACATACGCCCTTTTTCCATATCCGCACTGCTAGAACGTTTTCCAACGAGCTTTTCACCACTTCTTTCTAGTTAAAAATAATAATTAATCAATAAATGCATCAACAGATTTCAAATAAACTGTTTCTTAAAAAATAGCAATGAAAATGTGAATATTCAGGACACGTTTCATTCACCAATCACTCAGCAGTGATCCATTATTAATGTATTCATAATCTGAATCTTAAACTATTTCATGGATATCTCCAACTTCTCACATCCATTCAGTGGCTTGAATGACAGGGCCTCTTTCTTTCCCTTTCCTCATGTCTGGTTACTTCGTCATTTTCACTTTCAGTTTAAAAGGACGAAATAATTCCACCAAAATCGTTTAGCATGCAAGTGCTATGGAAGCAGCCATATTGAAATTCCCAGGCAATTGGCCTGCTATATAGTGAGAGGATAGGAAAATCTGCTTATCCTTTGCTGAATACGCATCTTAACTACTAGCTGACCACCTTATCCTATGACTAGTCACCTAAAGCAGCACATGCACACGAATATAGAAAAAGGGCGTATGGGCACATACGCCCCTTTTCCAGAGAACTCCTCAATTACTATACTTGACTTACCTATGCCAAATCCACTGCAGAAGTTTTAGTTTCCGAGAGTTTTTGCCTGACCAATAGGATGTTTTTTGCAACCATCCAAAAAGCCAAACTAGGCCTCCCAATTTAACGACGTGAGAAGAAAAAGAGAATGAAAGGGAAAAAAAAAAAGTTTGCCTCCTGAATGGGCGAACAAGGGCGAATGGACTTAAGGAATATTCTTTATCTCCCCTACTATCCCTCCTCCTCCCTCACCAACTTTGTCATATAATGAGCTAGATAATAGCCGCAGGATACCCCCCTTTCTCCGACAAGAACTCCTCGCCGAGTCCCTGATGTGAAATTACTTGAACATGAGAGCTTCTAGCTAGCCGAATTTTCAAAAAAGGATTGCTGGATCGGCCCATGAAAACGGTCATGTCTTCTGCCAACAGGAATCTCAGGGTGCATGGAGATTCTCACATTAATCAGGTCATCCAAGACTAATGGATTATGCACTCAGTATGAAAATGGTCTGGGAATACTAGACAGTGAGCTCTAAGGAAAAGGATAAAAGGGATATTAATCAGAATTAATCAAATTTGCAATTAAATTCTCAATCAGATGAAGGATTCAAGAGGGAAACATGAGCATTTTTGCATTTGAAAGAATAATTCCATGTTGGAAACGAAGTTTGGAATGTAATATCGCCATCACTGCGTTTCAATGTCAGCCCTCTCTTATCCAGGTCGAGGCGAACACCTGTTCAAGGCAGAGTCTGTGATGTTTGCATGCCTTCATTTCTGAGGCTCGGGATCTGTTGCAGTCAATCTGAGGTTGTTCCATTCTCTCATCAAGAGTCTCAGGAATCCTTTTCATTTCAAGATAGCCCCAGATTGTGGTCCCTCTCAGAACCTAACATGGACGCCATCGGCCTGGATCTGAAGGAGATATGCGACAACACGAAACTAGCCAGGGAAATGGCTCTCCTTGGCAATTATGACAGCGCCTCCGTTTACTATCAGGGAGTAATTCAGCAGATTCATAAATTGCTTGGGACTATCACGGATCCCACTCGTCGGATGCGTTGGCAGCAGGTGAGTTTGTCGATGGATGCAGTAAAATGGCGTAGCCAACCACAAGTGCAAATGAGTTAAGCCTAGCCATTTATGCCAATGCCCAACGTAGACTAAGTCCGTGGCATAAGCCATTTAAGTACAAAACCTATTTTTATTCTTAGGATAAATCATATGTAACCAGCCCATAGCTGGGTATCCTTCGTTACGTGAACACTGTGCACACTGAGTGAACACTTCCCCACAACCCAGACTTCGTGTTGTGTACACTACTTCTCTGTATTTACCATGTGTTGGGTATGCCTACTAATCCCCAATGTTCGATGTCATGTCCGGTTGAGATGTCCCATCATTCTGACATCTCAGGATGAGCATGGGAGATGTCAGGAAAACCGTACTCAAGATCGAGAGATCTTGAGAAGCAGTTCGAACTGGAGGTTCTCATGGATGGCAGCACTCAATCAACTAAACCTCACTAACCATCATGCGGAGGGAGAATTGCCACTTAGAGCTGCTATCTTTCGAGTGATAGGTTCCAAGTCTGGTTTTTCTGATATGGCTCCCACATGCACCCTGCGATAAATTCATTGATGTCCAGGATGACCAGCAGAAAACCAATTGGCAGGTGATAGTGCACCCCTGCTCTCCAAGGCTTTGGCGAGAGTCCTGGGCCTGCCTGAACAGCGACTACATTACCATGGCATGCATGATAGAGATAATGTCTGTGTGAAAGATATTCTATTCCCATTGACCTGCCTACAAATAAGGACATTGAGACTCCTGCCAGAGAATCTCTTGAAATCAGGTTTTTTTTTGGGGGGGGGAGAGGGTGTTTTGATTCATGGAAGAAACTCAAGTTAGAACTCAAGGTTCTAACAATGACAGGTGCACTGTGTCAGACATGTAGCTCAATGAGCATGTAATGAGGACATTGGTACCCCATAGTGTGCACTGGTCACAGTAAAGTGCATACCCCCAAGGGATATTGTGTTGCTCCTTAAGTTAGGCCAGGTTAGGTTAGGGGGGTAGGGGGTGGTATGTATTATATATATAAGGAAGCCCAATCGATGGAGGAAACATTGGAGGCTGAGGGAGTGCAATTTCATTAGGGGGTACACGCTTAACAGTTACTGTGTGCACTGAACAGGGGGATGTACACAAGACAAAGTCAGAGTTGCCTTGGTATTCACAAAACGAAGGATTTCACATAGCCTAAATGTGAAAAGTAGATTTACCTGACGTGTGTCTCTTATGGAACTATGGTTTGGCTTTGTCCAATGTCAAGTCTATATATGATGCCCTTAGACCAAGACCTAGTTGATAGTTGGTTGGCCTAGAATTATGAAGCCAAGAAATAAATCCTAGTCAACTTGGAGCAAGGTGGAGAAGGAATGAGGTGTCTAAAATAGAGCTTGCATGCATTGGGTCTAGCAGGCATACTGCAGGTCATCATTGTGCACATGGACTATGCCTTAATCTTGCATACATGAAAGTGAATGAGTTGCTGGCTCTGTAACATCTGCTTAGCAGGGATGGATAAATATATTTTATGCTTTATTTTCTGAGTTTCATGATGACAAATTGATGGGTAACACAGGAATATTCCAGTGCATGTATGCTAGTAATTGCAAATGTTCACAATGTAATTCCTTTCTATTTTTCTTATGTATACAAAGCATGTATGCTAATGAGAGGTACTGCCTCTGAGTTAGTCTGGCTCCACTGTATGTTGATCAGAAAGGATGAAAGCAAAAATGTATCAATTTAAGCTCAAGAGTTTTAAAGCAGAATGTGACATGAATGCCTGAAGGGATCAAATCCAAAGGAGGAGTTTCTGCAAGAGTGGCAACTGTACATCTCATATTACAGAGACCCCGAGGAATCAAATGGTGGCTGACCATATTACTGACATTATTCTATCAATAATATAACAGATCCAAATATTTTATGTCTTGAGGAGTAATATTAGATATAGATTTTGAATACCAGGCAACTTAAAGCAAAAATCAGGAAGGTTCTCATTCTGGTGGATTTTATTTGCCTAGAAGACAAGAAATGAGGACTAGACCTTCCCTTTATCTTCAGGGGCCTCCAAATTTAGCTATCTGGAAGGAAGCAGACTGCAGTGGGTTGATTCAAGAGGGGATGATGATAGCACAACTACCTGGGAATGAGAGGTAGCAGGGGAAGAACAGATAAAAACTTTTTTGCCAGTTTGGGAGATTTCAAGCCTCATCCTCCTGATCCTGGGAAGGTTGAGTCCCCAACCACCAAATACAAGCGTATGGAAGTTCTAGACATTTTCCAAAATCTACAGATTGGGAAGTAATTGGGAAGTAAAGGGTGACTTATGATATTGGACCTTTTGCTGGACTAAACTTTTCATCCTGTTTGTCACAATGAAGATTCCAGACACTATTCTTGTCACCATATTCTGCATCAGTGGCAACCTTACCATTGGATCTTTTTTTTACTCTTACCTATTACCCTGTCATTGAGACTTCAGAATTCTTTAACTTAGGTCTGTGATATGTGATAGATCCAGATCTAAAGTATTTACTTCTAGAACTTTTTCCAGCATCAATGAAGTGATGGAAACCTATACTTCTTCCAGCTCCAAGCCGAGATAGCTGAAGAATACAATGAGACAAAGTCGATAGTGAACACACTTTCCCTGTTCCGCTCTGAGGGCCATGATAACTCGCCTGCTTTGGCTGCACTGCGGTCATCTGGGCCAGCCATGACACCCTTTGAGGAGCCCACTCGAGATCCAGATGTCTGGGGTCCTCCTCCACCAAAAGAGAATGAAGCCTGGCCTCAACCCCACATGTCTGAGCATAAGTATGTCTAATGTAACCATAAAAAAGTCTTGAAATAATATATTAAGTCTTTCTTTTTTCCCCCTCAATTTGGTGTACTCATTTTGTTTTTTATTGGTGCTGTCAACTTGCTTTCTTTCTAAGCTTTTGGTTTTCCTTGGTATGCTTTTATTTTAATTTTTCAAGAATTTGTGAGATGCAGAGGTATAAAGCATGAATATAGAGGTTGAGTAATTTTGGAATAAACAATTATAAATGTACAGGGTGGGGCAGTACCTTTTTCTCCCCCTCTCCAATACCAGAGCATTTTAGTTATTAACTCATGTTGGGTAAAATCTGAAAGCCTAATTCCATTGGAACTGTTTCTAATAATTTTCAGGTAAATGTATATAAAAATAGCTGGTACTTGAAACTGCAAAAAGCAGACAGTGATTGATATAATTAAATGCATCACATTTCATGAGGCTCAAGCTGCCCCTGACATCCCCCAGAGAAACCTTTCCCAAGTGCTCCATGGCACAGATAACTGAACAGATTTCTTTCAAGAACTTCTTGAATCCTACTTTCATCCCCTGTAGGCTGTTCGTCTTGCAGGTGGTGGTCACATAGTTGGTCATATGAGTTTCATTTTCATTCAGGGAATACAATGTTAAATTGGTTGTTCTGGGTCTCTTTCATGTTTCAGCACAGGGGGGGAGAAAAAGGTTCTGTCCCACCCTGTAGTATGAGCTTCTGCAGTAGAACATCAGTTTTTGAACATCTGTCATCTGAATTTCCAGATTGGCCAAAGAAAAGAACCCTTATCCTAGGAAACTAGGGTATCTGTCATTCTACTGGTTACCCTTCCACTGGTCATGTGGACCTGTTGCTGGCTCTCAAATATTAGTGTAGCTTCATTAATTCTCAGGATACTTTAACAAATATATATATGCTCTCATCCATGCACTAGATAGCTATGGCAGTTGCAGACAATAGGAAGGAAAAATAATGCATAAGGTTTTTTGTGAGCAGGAAACCATGTGCTTTAGCATACTGTATATGAGAAGAAAATTGTATCTCTGCCAGGAAAGATTATACAGGGTGTCCCGTAAGTCAGGACCCATAGGGATTTCTAGGGAGCATTTTCCACCTTAAAGCACGCATTGTGGAGGCGTGTCAAGAAATTTCTGCGAATGTGATTCAGAAAGTGCGGTTGCGGTGGAGATTGCGTCTTCAACTATGTGTGCGACACAACGGCGGACACTTTAAACAGATTATGTAATAAATTTTTTGACTATTTTGTCATTTTATTAATTTTTCCCTATGGGTCCTGACTTATGGGACACCCTGTATATAAACTTTGATTTTGATTTTTTTTTTTTGTTTTTGTTTGTTGTTGTTATTGTTTTTGAAAAAAAAAGGAATTTTTTTCCCTTCCAATTGTCAATGGGGGAGTAAAAGAAAAATTAAAAAATAGGTTGCTATGGTAACTACAGACAGAGTGAAAGGAAAATCAGGGAACAGATTGCAGTATCTTCTATTTTTCTGAAGGTAAGAATAAGAATGCTAGACAGGAAATCACAATTTTCTTTACCTGAAAATTTTGATTTTAATTTCTTGCTAGTCCAGAAATTGACCACCTCTATTTAGAAGAGTGCTTCCAATTTTTTTTTTAAATCTTACATTCTCTATAGAATCTATACATTCTCTCTATATATTGTTTAGAAACTGACATAATGTTGGCTTTTTTCCATTTCATTCAGAACTAGCTTCTTGTTTTGCTCAATTTGAAAATGCATAAAAGCAATTTATTGGGCAGAATTAAACTTTTTCACAGGCCTGGCCCTCAGGTGAAGCCTGTAAGGGGTCCCAAGAGATCAAGTGCTAATGAAGCTGGAGCTCGTCCAAAGGGGAAGAGTGCTGGTGGATCTGGAACATCTGAACGGAAGAAGTCAGAAGTACGGGGAGCACGCCCCAAGGAAGATAAGAGTCTGGATCGTCGTACAGGAAAGAAGGAAGGAGAGAAGAAGGAGGATATGCCTAAAGTAAGTATCTGTCTAAGTTCCACTTTCCCTTCTTAATGGTGGAGGGATTGCTGGCCTCAATTAGTATGACAAATGCACCTTTTTTTTTTGGCTTTTGGCTTTTTCAAATATTTTGTATCTTTGTATCAAATGCATAGTTCCTGACTACTTCTCTTATGAGTTTGGCAGGGTGGTGAATCAATATCAGTACCATAATGCTGACTTGAGAGTTTCCCAATGCAGCTCTTTGTTCATAGATTTTTCTTTCTACTTTGAGAATAATGGCTATATCATTTTTATGCCATAGCAATTAATTTCTGCATTCATTATCACGAGTCCTCAACCCTCCATTGTATTTAATCTCTGACTGGAGTTTGGTGTCATCTGTGTTGTCCATGTTGATCAATCACTGTATCTCCCAAATGCATGATGATTTTCAATTTTTTTAGGGAGAGAAAGAGAAGGACTCGTATGAGGAGCGGCGCTTTGACCCAGCTGGCTTTGACCGGGACTTGGTGGAAGTCCTCGAGAGGGACATAGTGCAGAAGGACCCCAATGTACATTGGGATGACATTGCTGACCTGCAGGAAGCCAAGAAGCTCCTTGAGGAGGCTGTTGTCCTTCCCATGTGGATGCCTGACTTCTTCCGGGTAACTTACTTTCCTTCTTGTGTCACCTAGAACTGTTCAGTGAGGATTCAGTACCCACTTTTCTTGGGATCCTGACTTTCCAACCTGGATAATGAAAGAAAAACAGTTTGGAATAATGACAAGGTTCATTTGAATTACACTTGTGGGGCCAAGCTGATTGTGAACTCAAATTTTTTCTTTGCAATCCCACCTAGAAACTGAATTTAATTGTCTGCAAATCTAGATGCTGTTTGAAGGCTGACAGAAATGTTGTTTTTTAGGGGATCCGTCGTCCGTGGAAAGGTGTGTTAATGGTAGGTCCCCCAGGGACAGGAAAGACAATGCTGGCCAAGGCAGTGGCAACAGAATGTGGAACCACATTCTTCAATGTCTCCTCCTCCACCCTTACCTCCAAATACAGAGGGGAATCAGAGAAGCTTGTTCGACTTCTCTTTGAGATGGTCTGTTCACTTCTCAGATTTCTTTTTCTTTTTTTTTCTTGGGGTCTCCATGACCTCAGGCTTTTCAAGGCATAAGTCGAGGAGAATATAGATATTCAGTAGTTTTTTCGCAGGCATGCTGGCAAGTGTTAAGATTCCTAGCACTAGTGAAAATTGGTTGCATAGGTTCTGCTGGTAAACAGAATCTGTGAAACTTGGTTTACTTTATGTGAAAAAATGAACTCAGATAAAAATCTTACTGAAACTACTATTGAAGTTTTCAATTAAAAAAAATACCTTTTTAGATTTCCTGTCTGATGTGACCTATTTTCAAAAGCTTTTTTTTAAGATGAATTGAAATCCCAACATCCATTGTCATGTGTTGAATATTACACGCCTGATACCACAAATATTTCAATTTCAAACTGAGCTGATGGGCATAAATGGAAAGGAAGATGACTTTGCTCGCCTTGTTCTTCACATGATTCAATTTATGCACATGCTGATGAGGCATTTTGTATTCTCTCTAGGCCAGATTCTATGCCCCCAGCACCATCTTCATTGATGAGATTGACTCCCTCTGTTCCCGCAGAGGGTCTGATTCAGAGCATGAGGCATCACGACGAGTCAAGTCTGAACTCCTCATGCAGATGGATGGAATCAACTCCCAGTCTGTGTCCTACATTTCTCTTTTTGTTTTTAAATTGGTTTAGTCAGTCATCTTATCAGGATATTATTTTATTATTCTTACAATGATCATGGTTATATTCTAGTCAAAAAGTTCCAGGACTGGTTCTATGACTCCTTTATTCCTCAATGTGCAAATGCCAATTCTTTTGGGGATCTTCCATTGGGTTTCAGGAATGCATGGGGGAATTTGATTGAATATTGGCTTTCGTTTCAAATATTTATTTATTTCAAATGGACTCTTTACCTTCCTGGCAAAAAAAGAGTGGACATTTAGCTGAATGAAAGTTGAAATTCAGAGTGTCCCAAAGTTTTGTGTGATATTGGGGCAATGGACCAAAGAAACTTATGGTATGTTTCTGATTATGAAGGAGATGCTCCAGGCTACCCAATTTCCCATTGCCACAAACTGTCTGTTTACCCAAGGCAGGTCATCAGGAATGACCTAAGGTCAGTCTAGCCATCTTGGTTGGTTGAGCTGGAGTGCCTGAGTAGTTCTTATAGCAGCATTCAGGCAATTTTCACCAAGTTCCACTCATTGATCTACATGACCTTGGGGTCCTCCCTGACAAAGGTCTGGTTTTGTGTGAGCTCATTTGTACCATTCAGATGCCCTAGAGGTTGTCAGGTGTGACACATTTTCCCCATGTCACTGCAACATTTAATGACTCTGGATTTTTTAGTTTGTTAAATAATTTTCTCACATTTCTCATGAGATTGTGAATGTTAATTTTAAAAGTTTTAAATTAAAAAATTCTGAATAAAAGTGAATAAGAAATTTTTCCCATGCACTTCCAAAAACCAATACAATTTTATCTTGAGAATTGACATCTTTACCTCAAGGAAATGAAGTTGTAGAAGCAGTGTGAGAACTTTTTGACTTGCTCTCATACTAACTCTCCCACATTAATTTTCTGAATAGATATACTTATTTCTTGTGTTCTCTTCTATTCAGGGCTGTTTTCATCTTTTTATTTGTATTTATGGGGGCATATTTCATTTTACATATGAAGGATTATTGGATATGGATATTGTTCCCTTTTTGGAGGAAGTATAATGAGAGATGAAGTTGATTCAAACAAGTGCTGCTTTTGGTCATATGGTATTTTATTCTTCTAAAAATATGAAGGTGAGTGTGACCCATCAAAAACAGCCATGAGGATGTGATTTGTTTTTGTACTTGTGATCAGTGAGGAAGCAGGGAAGGTGGTGATGGTGCTGGCAGCTACAAATTTTCCCTGGGACATTGATGAAGCCTTGAGGCGGCGACTGGAGAAGAGGATATACATTCCTCTGCCTGGTGGTAGGGTTTCACTCAATTCCTTCTCTTTTGTGCATCCTTATTTTCTATTGTAGAAAAGGAGAATCTTCCACAAAAGATTAATTCTTTGGAGAATCATGTATACTGTTTCTCTCATGAACTGGCAAGAACTGGTTGCCAAATCCCATTCATCTATTCATCTGAGGTTTCCTCTAAGATGTTTGGTGATCTGAAAAAATGCTAGCTTTCATGGGAGTTGGTCCCTGGAATAGCTCAGGTCTTTGGAGTGAGTTCTTCATCTTTGTTATGCACATTTTGAGGATTTTGTATGATTCTAAAGATTTGAATGGGAAACTCCACAAATGTAATTTTCAACTTGAACACACACACTCATCACAATTATCAAAAGGGAGGGTTCAGGTTTTCTCTGAACCTCATGAAAACCTTGGATGAAACAGTGTATTGAGCAGTATATTGATGATATACATTTAATTGCATTGAATAAATATGTAAAGCAATGAAAAAATTGGCAGTCATAAAATTGATACAGCTTTTTCTACCTGCTAGTTGGCCAGCACTTACTAACACTGCCTGTGTTTTAGTGCAGTGTTGGTTCTGTCTATATGTAAGTTTGAGCCTACATGCTTATTTTTAAAAGGTGGTTTTTACTTTTACTGATTTACTGATTACTTTTACTATATCTTGCCCTTCTAATAGAGAAATTTGGGTAGGGTAAATCCATCTAAGTTCAGATAGTACCAACGTTTGAACATCATGAAATAAAAATGTTATAAAATGAAACATTTATGAGATCACACTCAGAAGCAGCTCTTCCAAGCTGCTAAGAACTGTTTCTGAGGGAGAGTTCACTAATGCTTCATTCTATAACAATGTGCATGATAGCATCTGAACTTGGATGGTTTTACCTTATCAGATAAAGCCTCTTCTTAGCATAACTGCATCCCCGTGGTCTTTCATATGTTATTTTTAAATTGGTTCAAGAAAATGAATGTTATTAAAACCAGTGGAAATTAGTAGACTATATCTGATGACTTCTAGTTGATTGGTTTCTTCTTGACAGCTAAAGGACGAGAGGCCCTACTGCAGATCAACCTGCGGGAGGTGAAGACATCTGATGATGTGAACCTGATGAGAATTGCCAAGAAGTTGGATGGATACTCGGGAGCAGACATCACCACAGTGTGCAGGGATGCAAGCATGATGTCGATGCGGCGCAAGATTGCCGGCCTTCGCCCGAATGAGATTCGCCAGCTGCCCAAGGAGGAGCTGGACCTACCCGTCACAATGCGGGACTTTGACGATGCCATTGCCAAGTGCAACAAGAGTGTCTCACAGGAGGACTTGGACAAATATGAGCTATGGATGAAGGAATTTGGCTCCATCTGACAAGCCCTATTCCATTTAGCTCTTTTATTCCCTTTTCTCTGTGCCTCCAGACCTCTTATTTTGGCTCAGAATAGGTCTGAAAGTGTACCTAACAGTATTGTTCCAATCACATTTGCCCTGGACCTCTCTATGCATGCAACACATTCATAGTGATGTCCAGAAGACAAATTTTGATGCAGAACTGATTGTGGTTGGAAAAATTTGCTAGGAAAGGTTATCTCTACTCAAGGTTTTAACAGTCCTCTCTCTGCACGATTTCACCCTATGGTTTCACAACATTGTGTTCAGGGGCCATTAATGAGTGAATGTTAACACTTTAGAGCCTTGGCTTCGTTTTCCTTGCAAGTGCTTGGCAGGTGCATCTTCAGCCCTAGAGAAGCCATGAGTTCATTCCCGGTGTGAATGAAGGAAAGATTGTCTTCTGTGATGCTGCCTGAATCTCTGTCAAATTTCTATCTTCATGAAATTCTCAATAAAGATGAAGGCATTGTTAGTTCATGAAAACTACTCGGAAAGTTTTAACTATAAATACACTTGCACAACTCCTTTTCCCAAGCCTCAAAGATCAAGTAGAATTCCGACCCTTTAGGATTGTATTGAACCCATTTTTTGCAACTGAACTGGCGAAGGGTGGTGTACACAGAGTGTATGAAAAGTCACTATTTTATTTTTAAGATAAATGACGAAAAATATAAATATCAGAATTGCTTCACATAAGAACTCAAAGGTCACTCGTAAGGAAACAGTTCATTGCAAAATAATGACACTCCTCTACTCAACAGTATTCAATTTAGCGCCGCGTTTCGTCAATGAATTTTGTAAGCGTCAGCTTCAAATTATCACATACTGCAATGAACTTCTGATCTGGAATCGCATTAACTTGCCTGTGGAAAGTAGCCTCAAGTTCTTCCAATGTTTCCAATCACTCACCATACACTTTCTCTTTCAAATGACCCCCCCAAAGTGAAGTCACATGAGGCCAGGGCAATGTGACGGCCAGTCGATGGCTCCACGCCCATCTATCCGACTGGAAAACTTGGTTGTTCCAACGCTGACCCTGGAGACTTTTCTATGAAAATTTCCCTCGACATATGAAAACCTACTGATTACTGCATCAAAGAATGTAAGAGCTGTTTAAAAAGAAATTCAAACCCAAAGATGACAGGAAAAAATTGTGACTTTTCGTACACCCTGTATAGTAGATGGATGGACCATTTTGGTGGCCCGGCCAGAACAGGATAGATCGTTCCCCACCCACACGGATTCGCAGTCTGACGGTCTATTCCGAAACTGGAAGCGCGGCGTCAGTTATTAGAATATTTGCACACTCGATCTGAACCAAAATATCGCTCGCTCGGACACGGACTGCACCGAGCAGGCTATCGTGGAGTGCTTCGCTTGGGCACAGACTGCACGGGCATCCACCATCTCATGGATTTTACAAACCATCACAAACATCTGGATTCCTTGCGACTCTTCTCCAATTATCATCGATCGACTCCTCGAATCTCTGATCGCCTCTCCAAAGTCCTGCTCCCCTTTGGAAGTGTATCGCCTGACAACCAAACTGTTGAATTCGTTATGAAATGATAGAAGTGCCTCTTCCCGGCAATGTTTTTTTCGTCAACCAATTAGAATTTGGTAACTTCTATTGAATTGGTGGGGCATAGTTTTTTGCTTTCCGATAGTCGTCAGTGGAAAGTTAATTACGATGGTTTTATTTTGTTTAATTATCAGCCAATCAGAAAATTTGCCATTTTGTTACATTATGAACAAAGATCTAAATTTTTACAATTTTCCGAAAAAAGAACTTTTTTTTTGACAAGTCTGCGCATGCATCGGCAGGATCGGACGAAATCATTGTGGAAAATAAATCTCGTTCATGATATCCAGATGTCAGATATGATCGTTCTCGTCCTCTTTCCGTCGGTGCAAACTTTCCAACTTTCGTTTTCCTCAGTGAGACGAAAATCGATGAAGTGAATGTCGATGGCATTTCCGGCCCGATTTCGTTTGACGAAAACATCTTTGCTTCTTGGTGGCTTTCCTTCTCGGTCGAGAAGATGAAACTTTTCCTAAAAAGCTCATTCGTTGGCGACGTTTGCCAAAGCACGGGAGAACCACCGTGATCGACACAA